GTTAGGAGTTTGAGTAATTGCAAAGTAACTTTCAGAGCGTCTTTGGCTAGAATACATTCTGGGGTTAGTCCTTCCTCCCTGAGAATAAATGTGATTGCTTATTGAAATGCAAGTAGGGTATACTTGGAGCACCAGTGTACCTTAACTGTGGCTGTGTCTTGTCCTCCATGGCCTGCCCCCAGGAGGCAGGCTCTCAGACGTGCACTGGCAATTCTTTTGTCACTTGTCATTAAGGACATTCCTTCAAATACTTGAAGAAGTCACTATGGCATAAAATCTACTTTTCCCTTTGCTAACGCTTGTCCGCATTTTCTCTGCAACTCAAGAGTGAGAATAAAACTCCAACGTGGACAAAATATTATAGAAAATAAAAGACCCCCCCCCCTTCACATGAGAAGTGTTGAATATACACAAAAATAGAGACCAGACTAACATGCTCCTGGGTGCCCATCACTCAAATTCAACAGTGCTCCACACTTCCCCAATCTTATTCATCTTTTGCCCTTACTGCTGTGGTTTTCTCTAATAATATCAAACACATCCCAGCCATCATATTCATTTCACTTATAAATACATCAACATTACTGTCAGATTAAGATTAAAGAAAAGTCTTGTGGGTTGAACCCAGGCACACTTCACCACTTGGCCACATCCCCAGTCTTTTTTTATTTTTTATTTTGAGACAGGGTCTCACAAAGTTGTGTAGGTTTCACTAAGTTGCTGAGGCTGGCCTGGAACTTGTGATCTTTCTACCTCAGGCCTCCCAAGCAGCTGGGATTTCTTAGATAAAGTTTTATTGTTATAAAGAACATAGAAGAGAACACTTTGCTAGCTCAGCATTTCATGTCAACATTTGTAGATGGGCGAGACTTCTTTCCTCCACTTGTCTTCCCTTCCCACTTGTTGAGTAACAGGGATAACCTTGCCATCAGGCAGCAATCCCTTGGCACACCAGAAGTCTCTCTGGCTCACCAGCAGGCATTGATCTGAGAGACGGTAACACTATTTTTTCTGTTAAGCTGCTTAAGACATTTTGAATCGCTTCCCTTTCTCTCAAGAAAATAAATGAAAACCAAGTACCCAGACCCCTTGCTGGTCCAAGGGCTCCCTGTGGGTTCACCCATTCCAGGCAAGGCCTGATGCAGCTTTAGTGGCCCTGCTCTGCTGTGGTGGGCCACCGATGAAGGGCACAGGGTGGAGCTGAGTTGCTGAACAGCATGCTGACTGCCTGGTCACCTAAGATGATTAGATTCCTTGCAGAATCAATTTCCTTAATGAATGAATTGGCTACTGTCAGTTAGCGTGGGTCCTTTGTTCAAAGCTCTTTGAAGAAGGTGCCATTTAGATGTATTCTCTGTAATTGACAGGCCATCCCTGGTTAATGGCTGCTGTGGGTTCATGTTTTTTGAAAAGGATACCCGAGGGGCCTGGAGATGTGGCTTGGTGGTAGAGCTCTTATCTGGCATGCATTAGATCCTGAGTTCAGTCCTTAGTGCTGAAAAAACAAACAAACAACAAAAAACCCAAAAAACAAAAATAATGCCACCGCCATGGACGACCAGTTACCCTAAAACCTGCAATAATGGTAGCAATAATCATACTTTCACTTTGAACCATGATATATTATGCTCTATAATTCTCCTAAGACAAACTCCCTGTATAGAGTAGGGCAGATCTTATTCCAGTTTTACAAGTGAGAATTAAACAGGAGAAAACCAACCGTTTCAGCAGAATGTGATGTTTTTGATACTTTTTTAAAAGATGAGGTACTGGGGTTGAACCTAGGACTTCACACATACTTGGCAAGTGATCTGTCCCTGAACTACATCCCCAGCCCAAGTGCGATGATTCTGAGGCCAGGGCACACAGGGAATTATGGGGACACAGTGGGGGCATCTGGTGTAGTGGAGGATGGTAGAGGAAGACTTTGGAGAAGGGGTGGAAGTTGGGGGTGAACGGGGTGCAGGGGTTTTCTGGTGAATAGCACAGAGTGGCTGTGGGGAAGGGTGGTGTCTGTCAGCACAGGGTGACAACTGAGGCCAAAGTGAGGCCAGGGTTTCCTCCTGGACAGTTCTCAGCGGAAGTGGTCTGGGACCCCTCATTCCCTAGGCCCTTCCTCTGGTCTGTCTTTGTCCCTTTGCCAGAGTGGACAGAGGGCCCTGTGCCTTGGTTTGGCGATGCAAAGCCTCCCTTCCGTGTCTGTCTGAACCATCTAGCCTGAAGCAGGTGTCCTTTCTGTGAAAACGGTGGAAAAAGGAGAAAGGGCAAGAAGAATCCAGTCCTTAGGGCTCAGAGGTGCTTGGGTCCAAGGTTCGTTAATTCCAGTCTGACTGGAGCCCTGGGAGGAGCAGCCTAAAGGGCCACTCTGTGTACTACTCTAATGCTATCCGACACCCAGTAAGTGCCGTGTGGAGAGAGGTACGGCTGGACTCTGCCAGGCCACTGCTTGTGAGACACCACCAGAAACCACTCCATGAAGGCAGAATTGCTCCCTTGACGAGAGTGTTCATTTCGATCCAGCCCCTTGACCTCACACTGGTGGTGTGGTCTGCAGTGGCTCACCTGAGGGTACTCAGGACGCTCTGAAGAGCAGATTCCAAGCCTCTGTAGGGTGTTGAGTGTGAGCTGCAACGTCCTCCCCCACCCCCAGCTCCGTGTTCGGCCATCTGCTGAAGGCTGCGCTGGTCATCAAGGGTTAGCATTCATCTTACTGCAACCAATAACACAGTGGGCTTAAGTCCTCATGGTCACCGTGGCAGGCTTCTGTGGCTTCAGTTTTAATAGAACCTCCAAGAAAGCTCATGTCATCTAAAGAACTTAACAGTGGGGGAAACTGAGGCCTTCAAAACTGACTCGGTGTGCCACTCAGTGTCACCAGGCTAATGTGGGAAGGCCCTGTGACCGAACAGAGCCCTTTTTTCGTTTGGTGCTTTGGAGTTCTCTGGTGGCAAAGCTCAGACAGGAATCTCTTGGTTCCCATAGTATTTTATTTTTATGCTATAAGAAGAAACTTCTCTCTCTTTTGTAGCCAGGTCTGGGAAGAAGGTACACCAAACACCCTTTGCTGGAGAAGCATTTCTAGTGCCGGTTCAAGTTTCACACTTTAATTAGTGATTGTTTACATTTAGTGATCATTATTTAACAATGTTACTAATCATGACACTTAGCATTTGCTGTGTGTTTACCATGTACACACAGGTGTTTGCATGACATGCTGCACTAAGATTTTATTATACCTTTAGGCATGCTGAATACTCTCGACAACCCTGTGATGTGGATATTTCTGCACTGCTTTTGCAGAAGAGGAAACCGAGGCTAGGAAACTCTTCTGAGGTTGCCACACACGTGGCAGCTCAGGTTCAATTCCAAGGCTACCTGACTTTTAAGCCCCTGTAATTAATATTATGCCTCCTTAACATCCTTTCACAGGTAGTCACTCAGGAAATCTGGCTTTAGCTTAATTAACCTATTAAGAAGATTTTATTTAAATAACCAGAAGTTTGACACATGCACGTTTAAAAAAAAAAATTCCAGTCTGCTGCATTGGGATCAAAGGAAAATGTGTCCTCCTCCCCGCTTTCAGTGCTGGTCACAGAACCAAGGGCCTCACACATGCTAGGCAAGCACTGTACCACTGAGCCACATCCGTAGCCCCTAAAGATGTCTTAAGACGTCTGGCTCTGGACTAAGTCACATGTGTATATTTAAGTTGTTCTGAGGTCTAAGAAGCTAACGTCTTAAAAGTCACCATTTCTCAAAAGTCTGGTGACAAATGGGTATTCAGGACCACTGTGCATGAAAGCCACCCATGAACGTCTTCAGAAAGGGCCCAGCTGAACATGTGGTATCCCAGCTCCTATACTGTGGCCTTTCAAGAGTTGACATTTCAAATGAATAGTTTAAAAAAAAAAAAACATGAATTCACGTGTATTATGTATTTGACTAACTCACTTGAAAATTCTATTATGTATAATTAAACAGATAGAAACTGAATTGACAAGGATAAAAGTATCTTGGAAGGGAACTTCAGGGTTTCAAGGAGCGATTTTTGAATATTGGGGAGGGTTGTAAGGCCAGACTGCAACAACAACCTTATCTCTGGATTTTGATCTGTGAGACCTTTCCTGTGTCTGAAATGTTGGTCTGGCCTTGTGATAATGTGCCTGGCAGATGGGACACTATCTCCAAGACTGAGCTCATTGCTAGGAGCTCTCTCACCTGCAAGCAAATGAGAGTTTATTTGACCCTTTCATAAAATTCAGATTGTGTCCTTCACTTTCGCAGCCCTGTTTGACAGGCACTAAATAAGGTAGTTTTGTTTAACCAGGGAATTCCTAATGGCCGTCAAAAAAGATTGGAGTGGGGGAGGAGGGGGAAAGGTCTGTAGAAATCTGAAAACATGAGAATGTTGAAGAAAGAACTAATTTAATTCTCACAACATCTCTGAGAAATGGTTCCTAAATTTATCACATTCTTACAGACATGTAAACTGAGGCTCAGAGTCCAGGCAACGTGCTAAAAAAGCCATGTCCTTGTGGAGATAATGGAGCCTGATTTCTGGTGCAGAAAACTCCAGCAACATTTTATTCCATCTGTAGCCAGTTTTGGGCAAAGTCTCAAGGGGAAAACTACAGCAAATTGTTAGATTTCTAGTGATTTTTTTTTTGTGGGGGGGATACTGGGGATTGAACCCAGGAGCACTTAACTACTGAACCACATCCTCACCCCCGACCCTTTTTTGGGGGTGGAGGTGGGAGGACAGAGTCTTGCTAAGTTGCTTAGGCCTCACCAAATTGCTGAGGCTGGCTTTGAACTTGCAATACTCCTGCCTCAGCCTCCGGAACTCCTGGGATTACAGGTGTACGCCACCACACCCGGCTTCTAGTGATTTATTTTTTCTTGCCTCAACTTGAACTCCCACCTAGCCAAGGACTGGATGATTAACCAATGAAGCAAATGCACTTAGCATCCATTGCTCATCACAGTTCTCTTTCTTGCAGTTCCCAAAGGGTCTGGAATCCACCAGAAACCGAAGCCGGGAAGAGCGTGCTTGCCTTGGTCACTGCGCGGAGCAGCCACCTGCTTGGGAGCGCGGCGTTCATTCACACACCAGGTTGCTACTGAGGCTTTTACATGTGGTGCTCAGAGCAGTTGCTTGGGCTTCCATCATTAGGCTGATGTTAAAGATACAATCAGCTTCTGCTTCTTGATCAGGAGGCCTTGTGGGTGCCAGTGTGGAGGGAGAACAGGTCTTATCTGACTTAGCTGAGGGGGAAGTGGGGTTGGACGGTGGGGTTGGACGGTGGGGTTGGGAAGTTGCCCTGAGATGAGCCCCCCCATTCCATCAGCTTGCCATTCAGAAAGCTCCCGGTCATCATAACACACAGAAAGACTCAATTTCCCCCCTTCTCTTTCTGTTCTAGTTGGAGACTAGGCTTGGGAAGTTTTCCACGTAGATGGTGCCTCTCCCCTGGATGGACGGGGAGAAATAACATCTGCAGATTGCTGCCAGACACCCTGAGAACACAAACCCACCTGGTCTTTGGTCCCCTTGCTGAATGGCATTCGCTGCGGCAGCCCACTGAGGGCTACTTTCCTGGGGATTCAGGGTTTGAGCACAGGACTCCAGTCTGGGAAGATGCTGAGTTCCATCAAGTGCGTGTTGGTGGGCGACAGCGCTGTGGGGAAAACCTCCCTGTTGGTGCGTTTCACCTCCGAGACCTTCCCCGAGGCCTATAAGCCCACGGTGTACGAGAACACGGGTGTGGACGTCTTCATGGATGGCATCCAGATCAGCCTGGGCCTCTGGGACACTGCTGGCAACGATGCCTTCAGAAGCATCCGCCCCCTGTCCTACCAGCAGGCCGACGTGGTGCTGATGTGCTATTCCGTGGCCAACCATAACTCGTTTCTGAACTTGAAGAACAAGTGGATTGGTGAAATCAGGAGCAACCTGCCCTGTACCCCGGTGCTGGTGGTGGCCACCCAGACTGACCAGCGGGAAGTGGGGCCCCACAGGGCCTCCTGCATCAATGCCATAGAAGGGAAGAAACTGGCCCAGGATGTGCGAGCCAAGGGCTACCTGGAGTGCTCAGCCCTCAGCAACCGGGGAGTGCAGCAGGTGTTTGAGTGTGCTGTCCGGACTGCCGTCAACCAGGCCAGGCGACGAAACAGAAGGAGGCTCTTCTCCATCGAGTGCAAGATCTTCTAATCCCCAGGACACTTCACCCAACACTCAGGAGCACATGCCAAAGAACGATGGGAAGGGGGGAAGCAGGCAAGATGGGAAGGTCGGTGCTGATTCCAGGCACCCCCGCAGCAGCCCTTCCTGTTGGATACAGCTGTTGAGACTGAGCCCGTGGATGTTTTCACTAACTACAAACCAACACCTCGCACAATATGATCAGAGAAACAAACCCCTTGGGAAGCTGTAATGGATAGTTCATCTTCAATTAAAAAAAACTAAAACGTCCTTCATAATTTTGGACAATGGAGTTTTCCAAGCATTCCATAATTAAAGACACGCTTTATTTAAATAATAACAAACCATGCAGCTCTTGTATATAATTAGTTTTCACACTTAGGAGGTCTTTTCCTACTTACTTACAAACTGCTGTATGAATGAAATAACCTCATGGGGCTTTGCCATATGTTTATAGTGTTATTATTTTTAACACTATAACCTGAATCAGTAGTTCCGTCAAAACCACTTGCCTGCTGGATTTTCCTAGGAATTTTAAAATGACCATTAACTGATTCTTGTAATCCATTTACCACTTACCTGTTATTTAGAGTTGTATATAGAATACGGTTCCATAAACATATGTCCCTACTCGCCTAATGATTTTCCACAGTTACCACCGTATTTCATTGTCATTGTAAAAAAGCATTTCTTATATGCCATCTTACCTTCCACCCAAAGAACCGCAGTTGTGCACTAAGTTTTCCTCAGTCGTTCGTTCCCTGGGTCCCTTGGAAGGGAAATGCTTCGGGCAGGGAATCACACTGCTCCAGACAATGGCAGCAGGACGTGGAGCAGGAGTGAGAGTTCATGCTCACTTCAGGGACCTCTGCTCTTTGCCTGTCACTTGTGACATGGTGGCTCTGAGTGGCTGAAGGTTTTGTGAAAGCAGGCAGGCACGAAGTTCTGCTTGGTGGTTCATTTGACAAACTTGTTTTCCAACTCTAAACTGCCTGGCATGACAACATACTTTATGAATTTTATCAATTCTGAATAATTGAGAAAGTGCCTGTATAGGTGTGTGCAAGGAGAAAAGGTAGAATTCATCGCTTTTACTATTTCATGAATATAAATTCTTGAGTGAAAAATCCAAACCAATAAATCCCAAGCACGGCTGTGAAGAAATTGCTCAGGTAATTACTCTTTGTTAAGAGTTACCAGGGATAATACTAAATAAGTAGGAATGAACACACACACACACACCCCTAAACCCCTATTCTATCTAATAGCTTAAAAGCATGATGTTGTTTATCTGTTAAAACTTGGAATAGAATTCTATGTAACTTGAAGAAATTGTGAAGATATATAATTTACTATACCCAGATGTGTCATTTTCTGCCTCAATCAAATAAAACTGAGACTCACCTGAACCGCATTTAGGGTAGTACTTATTTATGTGCAGTACCTCATTATTCTGGTGCCACAGGCTATTACACGTCACAGGTAAGGCAGCAGCTGGGTGAGTGACTATTATTATAGTCACGTTGGCACAGCATTCTGTTGCCTTATTTGGCCAATTCTGTATAGCTATAATCAGAGTTGAAAATAAAATCTGTTCTCACCCCATACTGCTTTCTCCTCTCTCTCCTCTCTCTCTCTCTCTCCTCTCACCCACATGCAGTAAAAGGCTGGGACCTGCGTCTTAGTCTCTGGTGGGAGGGTTGCCTCGATTCTTTGGGATTAAGGATCTGCCTTCAACCCGTCTCATCCCTCCAGTCCTGCAGCTTATCCTTGCCTCTGCATCACCTTTGTGTGGTTCCTCCAGCAGAGGAGGAAGGGCAGGTTAGGGAGGGCACAAATGGCTTTGCTGTTATCTAGGCGAGGACACACAGACCAGGCCTGTGCCTACTGCTTGGAGAAGACTCTAGGCTTGAACCCTCCTCAGTGGGAACCTGAGAGAAGTTGAGGCAGGCAGTGTCTGTCGTCCCTGCTGGGTTACATGTTCTTGAAGGCCGTGCCACCTCCTATCATCTCTGTGACCCCAAGGCCTAGCATAGGGAAGAACAGGAGCTAAATATAGTTGTGTTGAACTGAACTGGAGAAACACAGAATTTGGGCTTTTGTACTATGGAGAAGTTGATGAGAAGGAAGCAGACCCTCACCAGCTCGAAGGGGCGAGAGGTGAAAACAGTTCATTTGGGTGGAATCCAGGTTAATGCATGTTCTACATGAGCATACATTTATTTTTGCTGGCCTGCATGAAGGCATATGTTTCTTGCACTTCAATACTTGTGGTACCTTTCTGTAGACTATTGTTATGTCTATTCTTTACTCTTCCAAATCAGAAAAGTGAATATGCTCTTGTTTACATGAAAGAATTGATTTGAGTGGTCAAGAAACTCATCCTTGTCTCATTCAGTCAGGGCTGCTATCATGAAATACCACATGTGGTGTGACTTAAATTACAAAAGTTTTTGTCTTATAGTTTGGAGGTGGGGAGTCCGAGATCAGGTGCCAGTATGGCTGGGTTCTGGTGAGGCCCATATTCCTGGTTTGCAGATGGTGATCTTTTTGCTGTGTTCCCACATGTCTCTTCTCATAAGAGCACTAAGGATCCACCTCCTAATGCTATCACATTGGGGATTGGGCTTCCACACATGGATTTGGGGGGAACATAAATATTCCATCCACAGCAATGCCATTATGTCTTACTTTATAACTGACTAGTTAAATGGGGGGCAGTAGAATCTTGTGTGATGGAATTAGACTGAGTGACAAGAAAACCGGGAGCATCCTAATAGTTCAAGTTTCTGGATTGCTTTGGATGTGCTGGGTGCTGTGTTTAACATTTGAAGGTCATGATCACACCACATGGGTGTAGATGGCTCACATTATAATGAATCTCCTCTTATACAATGAAACAGAGGCTCAGCATATTAATGAAACAAATCTAAGCCACACTTCAGGTGAGTGGCAGTTACCAGGAGTCTCGATCAGGTCTGTGTGACTCCAAAGCTCTGCTCAAAACCACTGTGCCCCACTTCCTCCCAGAGCAGCCTGACTGAATGACTTTGCCACATCCTATCTCACATAGCTTGAGGCTCCAGCCCCACCAGTCAAGGGGCCTGCATTTAAAACATTATTTTTAACTTCTGCAGTACTGGCAATTGAACCCAGGGCCCCACGCATCCTAGACAAGCTACAGGCCTAGCTCTAAAGCATTATCTTTCAATGACATATTCCAAGTCTGGTCCCCTTTTATTTCTTTTTTTCTGGTAGTGAGAATAAGAGCCATCTAAGTCACAGAGCACCATCATTTGCAAGGGCCCCTATTCCAACCATTGGCTTTTCAGTGTCAATTCATACATAGATGGTGTGTGATTTGGCAGAGATAAATACACCATAATTTAATGCTTTAAAAAGCTTGGGAAATATTTGCTTTTTCTTATCTCACTTCCCCACCCCTCAGGTTTCATTTAATTTCTTTGAGGGAGCAACAGGGGAGAAGAGAGCGTGCGGTTCTTTCCTTTCAAGAATTTCATGCCCAGGAAGGTCCCTTTATCTAGAATGAGACAGGATGGAAGGATTCCAGTTTGGCACATCTGCAGGGTAACGATATGATAGAAGGGACAAGGGGATTCATGAGTGTCTCCAGAGCTGAGAAGGCGGTATTTTGGGTTGCGTGAGATTGGCACAACTCCACGGAGAGACTTATTTGTCCTGAGACTGTATCTCTCCTGATAAAACAAAGAAACAATCATGGGCCAAGATCTCAACAGTTTTTTTTTTCAATAAAAGATAAAATAAGCCGTGGAAATGACTTGTGATATGGGTTCATGAAGAGAACTTGATTTAGCCTAAAGTCAGCATTAACTTTTTGATAGACTCTAAAATGTATCCTGACATGGAACTTAATGGTAGATAAAAAGCCAGACAATCATGATGTATTTAGAGTAAAAAAAAAAAAAAAAAAAAAGTCTGAGCTGTATATCTTTCGGTCTCAAATTCTTTTTCTTAAAACATAGGTACTCTGTAAGTATTGTTAATAATAACAATTGTGAAAGTACTTTATATCTGTAAACTACCAGGCAGCCAGGAGTGTTATGTGTTTGTTAGATTCCTATGCTCAAACAGAAGCTGAATATTCTAGCTGAGGTTGGAACTTTCTAGAACTGGCCAACTGTGGGCCAAATGATGGGAAACCCAGCAGAAGCAAGTTCTATTTGTTAACATTGTTAACAGTGAGATGACCCATAGGATCATAAAAATAGCAACAAATTGTGTTCAGATGCCTGTTGGCTCTGGGCCCTGTGTTAGGCGCTCTACAGAGTCACCTCATGTAGAGTTCATAACAGGCTGACAAGGTAGAGATTCTCTTTCTGTTGGTAAGAAACTGAGGATCCCAGTTTTGCTATCTAATTCTGGTATAATTAAACTTGGCCAGCTAAAAACTATATGATTAATTATATTTAGTGTTCGCTACGCTTGCTAATTTAGCCACGATGGGCACACTGCAGGGCGGGCTGACGTATGGCACTTGCCAGTCTTCCTGTGTGACGGTCCTTTTGTCATTCTTCTCACAATAGTGTCTCAGGTGGTTCTATCCCGTTGTTTTGGCTGGTTTTGGCTTGCTGTTCCCACTCCCCATTTCCCTTGTTTACTCTTCGCTGCCCTCCTGTGTGCCTGAGAGGCTCACCCTGTGGACTGAGTGACCCAGGATCTCTTCCTGGCATCCACATGGTATAGCTAACGGGACACTCTGGCCAGAAGTGGGTAAATAGGAGCAAAGATTGGCAGAGTGTTTTCCCCTACACCTCTCCTGCTCTGGTGCTGACTTGGCAAAGTGTCTCTCTGCAACTCCAGCTCCTGCTGGGCAGCTTCTATTCCACACCTCCAGCTGGTGCTTGTTTTTGGATGCAGCAACATTCCTGATGTAGCTCCTTAATGGAGACCTCAACAAGTAGGGCTTTCATTCAGATCTCTTCATTTGAACTACCTAGAACAAATTTGGTTTCTTCCTGAGTGATACACTCGATACATATTAAAAGTCTTCTATATGCTTTGGCATTAAGTGATTACTAAGCCCTATTGAAACTGTTGGGGTTAACAGTGTGGGTAACTGCTCTTTCCTGTGCCACAAAACCCAAGAAATATCATCACTCTTTACATCTATTTTCTTGGAAGAAAAAGGAGGAAGGGGTTGATTAAGTCTATTCTGAATAAGCAAAAGAATAGTTCCGGAATAGCAATGTTCAAAAATTTCAGGTCTTCTAATGACACAATTATACTCAAGAAGCTCTGTTGTTATCCATAATATATAAAGAATGACTACAAATCAACAAGAAAAAAGCCCAATTTCTAAGACGGATATTTCTAAGAAGAGAAAATATGCTTGACCAATGAACAATAGAAAATATGTTTAAACTGGATGTGGTGGTGCACCCCTATAATCAGTGACTCAGGAGGCTGAGGCAGGAGGATTGCAAGTTCTAGCCTAGCTTGGATAACTTAGTGAGTCTCTGTCTCAAAAATAAAAAGGGCTAATGATGTAGCTCAGAGGTAGAGCCCACCCTTGGATTTAATCCCCAATACAACACACACACACACACACACACACACACACACACACACAATGTGTTTAATCATTTTCAAATGACCATATTGGGAAAAGAAATAATAAGTATGACAATACCAAGCATCGATAAGGATATGACATAATAGGAACTCTTATAAACTACTTGTGGGAGCTTAAATTGGTATAACATTT